CCGCAGGGCTGATGGTCTGCTTCTCCCACCAAAGGCCGCGCACGCGCATTCCCTTTGTCGTTCGACTGCGCTGCCGTCAATCGCTGCGACCTGATCGGCTTCCATGAGCCGTAGTCCTGGTTTAGTGCTTGTTTCGAGATCCCAAGCTGCTGCTGCTGCGCGGCTGCCAGGACGGAGAACCCCTAAAAACGGAACGCAAAAGTCTATCTCGGTTCATTCTCCGCGACCTAGTCACGACGGCGTGCGAGGTGTTCCGGCACCATCATCAAGGGAAGGGAGAAGAACGCATACTATGACGAACTCGGTTTGGGGCAGCTGGCACGCCGGCACCGACTCGGCCATCACACATACATCATCATCATCAGTCATCTCTTTGGAAAGAGACATGTGTGCGAAATATGCTAAAGACGAGGAGACAGATGCCTTGTTTCCCGAGATTGCGCACGCGCGTTACGAATGAACCGGATCGTCGGCGCCCTTAGATTTGAGGAGGGGGGCGTGGTGGCAGGTTCTTCCTGTTTGGCGGCCTGGGAGTACAACACGGGTAAACGGGCAACGAAAGCACAGGTTGCTGGTGGCCCAGCGCTCCAGCTCCAGGTTGCTACCTGGCTTTTACCAACCTACCAGAAGGATTAAACGCTCACCCCCACCACACGCACCGGAAATCCCGTTCGTCCAATTTGAGGGGGTCGTCTATCTGGCAACCTTAATACCACGGCGCTCCTTGGGGGAGAGGGGAAGTCAGGTGCGTGCACCGTATGGGTTGGGCTGTTAGGTGTGTGGTTCGAGAAGCATTTCCCCAAACGGCGCTGCAGCAACACATGCCGGTGTCCCGTGGTCCATGCTGCAATGATGCTGCGTGCCTTGTATCCGTACCGCCGCAACACCTTTTTGCCATTGTTCCCGTTGACGGGATGGTAAGATGGGCCACAGGGCATTTCTGAGCCTGGGAGCGCTCTTGGTCATTGTACTCGGCATTCTGGGAGAGAGCAACAGGACCGTTGGGGGGCGGTGCACGCGGGTACTCGAACGGTTGGATCATCACGGTTTGTATGGGACAGGAGGGACGTTTGTGACGGGCAATCAGGGCGTTGCACATGTATACACTCCCAACTGCCTTTGCCCATATCCTTTCCCGTTGGGCCCCGTCGGTTTTGGGGAGGAGCTTGTTGTACCGCCCAGACCGTTGTTCGTTGGCGAGACTTGTGAGCCGAACGTCGTTGGACCGGGTGAGTGTGACATGTCAACACACACACACACACACAGAGACACACATACACAAACACAACGGGCGAGTTTGAGTCTGGTGTACGACCCCCAAGGGTTTACCTCTGTCTCTTGTGTGTGTGTCAAGCTCTCCCAATCTCGGTTGTATCGTCCTCTGTACACCATAACCTGATTTCGAGTCCGGTTCGGGAAGGTGAGGAGACGGATTGGGCATGTTGTTGGTGCGTTGGTGCGGCGCGGTTGGTGATCTCTTCGGGGGTCTGGATGTTGGGTTGTTGGTGGCGGACTGCCTGTTGGAGGTGATACCAGGGGGGTGAGGGGACCGTTTGCGGGCTTGGCTGTATGATGCCAATTTGGATCTCATCGTCTTTGCTTTCTGGAAGTTGCTCGCAGCTTCTGGGATGCTGTCAACTTCTGCGATGCTTACATCCTGCTCGCGAGCGATGTCCCCGGGAGACGGTGCATTTCGCGGAGAAGCAGGAAATTAGGGGTTGAAGCTTATCCGGGGCGGGCGGGGTTCAGGACGGACTGCTACCGCCGGCCTTCCGGCACGTCCGGGCGGCGCTGCGTTGATCGGCCTCTGGTGCTGGGTCCGTTGGCATTCTTCATCAATCTGACTTTTCAACGTCTCGCCTTACCTTTGTTAATTGCAGGGGCGCGCATTGCCGGCGGGTTGCGGCGTGGCCGGTGGGATTCTTTGAGATATCGAGGCACAATGTACGACGCTTTTTAGGCTGGTCTGCTCTTCCGCGGATGTCGCTGTCAGAAGTTAACTACCGCCTAAATCTCACATCTCGGAGGAGTCCGGTGACGATGCGTGATACGGAGCGCTGGATATGGCCCAATCCCGGCGCGCACGAATTTAACCCAGAAGTTTAACGAGAACAAGGGGGGAAATGGCCGGTGTGTGGGAAAATCCTGAGACGAACTCGTCGCCCGCCAGAGGGAAGGGAGAATTAAGCTTGAAGTATGATTGACTGCCAAGGCTGCCTCGGCCGGGGGGATGCTTGGTGACAGGTGGGATGTGGCCGGGCACAGCGCGCGTGTGCGTCCGTCCTCTTGGTGGGATTTCATTTTGGCTGTGAGAGTGATGATGCCTTTTCGGCGGCCGAGGGAGGTTTGATTGCAACGGACGGACGGGCGGTTCGGAGGTTCCTGGTGTTGCGGTGGCGGGACGGGTGTACTGCATGGTAGTTAGGGAGTTAGTCTTAACCTTCTGTTCTGGGCGGCTTTGTGGGATGAGAGTGACGATGCACGGGATTGGGACTCGGGCTGTTGCTGGCCTGAGATTACACTTACACAATGTGCGATTGTACAATTTACTCTTTCTCGGGGATGAGGGCGCTTGCTCACTTTCCGGCTTGCGCTTTTTGCTTGATGGGATGAAAGGTTCCTTCAAGGCGGGAGCTTGCGAAGGCTACGGTTGGGGTTTGGCGGTGTGGTAGGTTTCTGAGCATCATGATGTTACCGTCTGCGCCCTCACCGCCGGTGTAGGTTGAGTGGTTGGCACTGCCCGTTGTGATGTACGTGTTCTACGGGAGGGTTCCCACCTGGGACGACGACTACCGTGCCACGCAACGGTTGTGACGTGCACACCAGCGGCGCACCGGACGTGACCAGGCGCGAGCGAGGGAGGCTGTGTAATTGAATCGCCTCCCTCGAACGTTCAGATTGTTCAACCGGGTTTGCGTGTGAACCTAGGGACTTACTCCCCATCCGGCAAGTCTGAGCAGGTGTCTATCTGCTGCTGCCTTTGCTGTTTGCGAATTTTACATTTTTGACACTCGGTTTCTGGGACGTCAGTGTGACCAGTGCTTTTCTCCCTTCAAGTTCGGATTGATTCTGGCGCTTCTACGTCTTCGCTCGTGTTCTATTGGAGAAGAGCGATCCAGACGGCAGGGTTGGGGTGTGTTTGGGAGAGCGAGGATGGGATGGAATAATGCCGAGGGCTGGCTGACTGGATACATCGGATGGTCTGGGTAGAACCTTCAGTTTCCTATTGCGGAAACGCATACAGAGCGTGTGGAAAATGGAACGTCTTCTTCGCAAGAGGCAGCCGGGTTGTCAGCGTCAGCCGCGCGGATGTGTCCGTGGATTGTGCATGAACGTTTCTCCATCACCACCACCTCCTCCCTCCCCCTTGCACATCCATCGCCACTGCATGTTCACCATGAGGGGGAGGTTACGATTAACAAAGATCAGCATCGCCATCAGAGGGCTGAACGGCATTCGCATGAACTGAGGGATGCTATTTTCGGGGCTGAACGGTACACGCCCCCGCAGCGGCGGCGTTTCTGGTAGAGCAGCCGCATGAAAAACGGTACGCGTCTACGGCGTATACGATGCCAAGGTTAATTGCTTTGTGGGCATGGCTGGCCTGGGCTGAGACAGGGAGAAGGGCCAGCTGTCGGGGAATTACTAGCACGACTATGGGCGAGGGTGATGGGCGAGCAATAGCGGTCTGTATCTTATGGACAGCGGTTGGATTTAGGGTTTGTAGTGGACGGGCGCGGGCGTTTGGGTGGCTTCGCGGATTTCTTGGTTTTGCATGATTTACGATTATTTTTGACAGCTGGGCTGAGGCCGGCCGGTGTGGGAGGGAGGGAGCATCAGCCACCTGGTTTGGGGCCCGGTGGAGGCCAAGACCCGGTGCGGCGACGGCGAGGGCGATGCGGAACGGACTGTGGGCGGACGGAACGGGCGCGGGGCCAGGGGGGGTTGGTTAACTGACGATGATGTCGTTTCGGTGGGGGAGGGGGTGAGTGGTGACGGAGTCAGTAATGTTTTGGTCTTGATGTTGGGATTTGCCAAGTGAAGGGGGTACACGAGGCGAGGCGAGATTGTGTGTGTGGTTTTCTGGGCTTGGCGGGTTGCGGATATGGGTGCGTTGTAGAAGGGAGGTTTGATGGATTACGCGGACAACTAGACTTTCGTGAGAGAGGTGTTTTGGTGGTGTGGTTCCTTGTGGTGATGTCGATAAGTTAAGGGACAATACAGCCTGAGTCAAGGCGCGGCTTCATTGGTGATGTGAGGGAAACCGGAACCGGGCGGCTGGGTGGCGGTGGTCTGTGTAAGGCTACTCTTTTTGCAGCTGCCTGTGCATGAAGGAAGGACGTTTGTTCGTTGACGCGAGACTATTTGCTTGATGTGTCACTATTCATGGTGTAGGCTGCCGACATGACGGTTTCGGTGTCGGTGTCGGCGTATTGTGGTTGTTAGCGTTTTGCTGCCGTCTGGGCGAAGGGAGAGCGCAGAGACAACGAGACCGAATTGATGACGGAGGCTATAACCCGGAAGCTCTAGCTTCTTTAGCAAACTCTTTGAGACCACGGTGCAACCCTTTTTTGGGATTGGGTTGAGTCTTGTCCGTTGGAATGCGAGGGATTGTCATGGCTGTGGGTTTTGGCTATGATGAGGTTTATCTCGGTGCCTTGGCCAGATTACGTGTTGGAGGATGCTTCTTCTTCCTACTGCGGCTTACTTTCCGCTGCAGCTGTCAGCTTCCTCTGAGGGATCTCGCCCGATCTCTCTTCTTGGGACGAAGGACCTTTCTGCCAGCGATTCCATGATGCGGTGGAAGCTACTTAGTGCACCGCGGGCGGCCGGACACGCCCCCGCCCCCCCCCCCCCCCCCCCCCCCCCCCCCTGGTGAGGCAGGTGTACCTTATTTCTCTGATCGCCGGGCTTGGCTTATTTGCGCATCTACATTCCGAGTTTGAACCAAGAAAAGTTCCCACCAAAACCTCCCGAGTTTATTTGCGTTCCCGGGGGGGCTAAGCCGTGCTATCTTGGTGCTAATCTGGGTGAGACGGATGCGAAGAACATTAAAAACGAAAAAAAAAAAGGACACTTGGACAAGTCGTTTCTTTCTTGGCCCTTTCATCATAGGCCATGATTTCTCATCTATGCCCCGTTCTGGAATAGGTTGCTCGTGAAGATGGATTACCCGGCGCGGGGCGTCGGTCAGCGGCGCTTGGGGAATTGGAATCTTTGAAAATTTACCTTTGTCGATTACCTTTGGTGGTACCTGAGTGACCCGATGGAACGTGGGAGGACGGGCGTGTAGGACGGAAGGGCCAGTCAGCAGCGGGCGGTTTGCTGTCATGAAGCTTGTTAACGTGGGCCGATGGATGTATCCGCCAGGATCCATCACTTCTTCTCTATTCAACTGTGTGGTGTGAATGAACGCAAATGGGATCTATGGGGGTCTTGGCGAATCACGAATCGGGGGCTCTTGAACATGAATCGTGAATAGATGGAGATGGGGGCAGATTTTGTGGGAAATTTCAGCGGTGGTTTGAGCTGGTATTCCAGAGCGCACTTGTCATGTTCACGTAGCCAATCTATTCAAACCTTGCGGCTGAGGGAAGGGGAAAAACTGGGCTGGATCTTCTTGCTCCTCAACGGGATAAGGTATGCTCTACATATTGATCTTCGCGACTTGCTTCTGCGCTCGCCTTCCTGCGACGGAGACATCCAGTCGGAGAGTTTCACAAGTGAGAATTCAAAAATACGAATAGTCCCGCTTGTGTGGCTGTTATGTCTCGTGTAGAAAACGCGAGTTTTTTTTTTAGTTTTTTTTTTTTTTTTGCACCTACAATTCAGCCGGACATTTCCTAATCACAAAGGGAAAGGAGAGACACCTTAAAAAGAAGCACTAAATTAACGTTGGTTTGACTTGGAGCTAAGCCGATGCTTGGCGGACGCCTCGCATCCACCCTCCCCTCCTACCCAGCCTCGCGTCAGGATTAGGGTCGCCTATCCATATTTTGACTCAGGGCGCGCGATGAAGGAAGCCCCGTGACCGTGGGACTGTAGCCGCTGCTGGAGCAGTCTCAGTCAGTTCAAATCAATCAGTTGATTAGTTACTTGTGCAAAGTAACCACTTGCCTGCCGAAGAAGATTGACACAACGGACGGATAACCTGTTTGCGCAGGTGCTGTGGACTCAACATGCCCCCTGCCTGAACCTGTCAGATACAGCGGGACCAGCTTGATTGGCTATTTGGCACGAACGGCACACGGCACGGGAAGGGTGTGGGCGGGCACCGCATAGGATGGGGATCAGGGGAGGGGGACTGTTACGGGCGGCCTTGGGGATAGGTCAGGTCAGGTCGACCACAAGGATGGCAAGGATGCTTGATATTATGGTTATCAAGTCTGGTCCCGTGGGCAAAGGCAAGGTTAGGGGCAGCCGAGCCGTTGTGAGGCTTTGCCCAGCGGGAGTGAAGATGTGGTTGATGATCGACCATGCTGAGGTGCTTTACATCGGGGTGTTTTGATTGGATGGGGGCCGGAAAATTGGTCATGACATGATTTGCTGACGGGGGGTGAGTGAGATTGCGGGCTCGGATGGAGGTAGGTACATTTTGGTGCTTATTTCGATGGGATTCTGGGCTTTCTGTTGTGTGTATGTATGCTGTTGAGTTTTTATGTTGTCAGATTTATTTTTTGGTCTATGGGTCGTCGGGCGATGCAGACTTGGTCTGGGTCGCAGGATTTGCGAAGGATGGGATGGGGGGATGGGCGCCGCCATTGGGGATGAGATGAGATGGGATGGGATGTGGGTGGGTGTCGTTCTCGGTTTATGCTTCTTCTGCGCCTCAGAGGTACATGCAGATACTGGATGGAGACAAAGGGTGAGCCGATATGATGAGCAGTCATGCCTGGAGCCTCGCTGCGGTTGGTGCGGTCTTGGTCTCAAGGTCTTGGCCCATCACTGTGTGCTTGGCTTGTTCACTGGTCTGAGTCTCTGGTGGGTTCTTTGGCTGAGTGGCTGAGATGTCTCTCCTGTCCACGCTTGGTGTCGGAGCCAAGCATGTCCATGGACATTTTTCTGAGTCAAAGTTTGGGGGGGGGGACACTGATGGTTTTTGTGCAGAAAATGTCTTGCGCCGGTCGCCCTGTTTTTCTTTCACTGGAGAGCAGAAAAGGTCTTCGGGGTCTTGGGACGTCCACATTAGCCTTGGTATGTGTCATTTCGCCAAGGCCGCCTCCCTCTGGGTGGCTCCCCTCCGATTGACGATGCGCCAATAGAAGATTTAGGGTTTTGGATAGTGTCCTGTCGGGAACGGGGGGAGCTTGAAGGGGGAGGCAAGGAAGGGGGGCGTGTCGACGCTATTTGGACATGGGCTGAGGGCCAGCCCAGAGCGCGAGGTTGCCTTTTCTGAAGGTGATCCGTAGAAAAGATGACATGCTAGCGGTTGCCGTTTGTAGAATAGCGACGACAAGACAAGCAAGTGGTAGGCGGGCGGACTTTGCCGTGTTGCATGGTACTGAGGTGCGGTGGGCTGGGTGGGATTGGATGGGTGGACGGTACGCTATCTGTGCTGCGTGTATGCCGTTCTTTTTTACTTTTTTGTCATTAGGTGCATGGAGAACAAGGTTGAGTTGATGCTCGGCAGAACCTTGGCTTTTTCCTTCTCGGTGGGAATTTTGAGATGATGCGTGCCTTTCCGGGATGTGGAGGAGGGATGGTTGTGGTTGATTTGTTGGTGATTAGGTAGAGATTAGGTGATTGTAGTCAGCAACCACCAAAGTTCCGCATTTGCACGGAGGCTGCTGCGTGCCTACCTAGGCAAGGTAGATCGGAGTCTGGGTCCGTTTCTTGGGGGGCCATCATCAACAAGCCACCCCCGTCCGTATCCGAAGTTAACGGGGTTGGACGGATACGGGATACTGGATACGGGATACGTATTCGTGCTACTCGCCGTACTGCACTGCACTGCGTGCGGATAGTCGAGGTGACAAAAGAAGACACGGGCGGTTGGGGGTTGAGACTGGGCTCTTTTATTTGAGTGTGCAGACGCATGGAAAAAAGAAGCTTGTTCTTTTTCTGGAGCGGTTCCTTGTTTCGGTAGCGACGAACTGTTGCACGAGTCGGGTCTCTGAGGGCGGACGTTTCGCGCGACGACGGACGGTGGTTTGTTCTCCAGATTTCGGGTTGATGGGAGGCGCACTCTATCGACGATCGGAGTTGGTGTCCGTTTTTCTTCTTTTGTGTTTAGCGGTTCTTGGTTACAGTATCCGTTCCCCCCACGTATGCAGTAAAGGTACCCGTACCCGTTGGAGTGCTTCAGGAGAGAGAGGGGTTTGCGTGCATTGTACGCATCTCAAGTCGGGGAAATAGCGGCGTGGCAGGCAGATAGACTCACCGAAGATGGGAATGAGATGGGAATGCTGGAGCCCAGATACGGAGTGGTGAAGGTGAAAATGAAAGTGGAACCCGGCATCTCGAATACAGTGGTGGTGACGTTGTTTTTTCGTGTGGCCGCGGGAAGCACGGAACAGTTTTGGCGTTTTTCTGGAGACCATTCGCACCTTGTTTGACGGTTATTTGGTCAGCAGAATATCCGTACCTTCTCCAGTGGGGCCCAGCGCCGGTGGCTTGCTCGGCCTGGCCTGGCTTGGCTTGGCTTGGCTGGGCTCGGCTTGGCTTGGCTTCCCACGGCCAGGATGATTTTTTGTCAAATGTCGAGTTGCGTGGGAGGGAGTTGGGGGTGAGGCTAAGAAAAAGGCAAAGGTGGCACAGTGACTGGGCGAAAGCGAGCGAGCGCGAAGACACTGGAGAGACTGAGCTGGGCTGAGCGAGGTGCGGTGCGGTGCTGGGAGCCTAGAGGTGAGCCAAGACAGAGACAGAGCCTCGGCGGCGCATCGTAATCGTTCCTTTTGCCTTGGTATGCAGTCGCCGTCGCAGTCGCATTGCTGTCGCATTGCAGTCGATCGTATGTGGAGCAGATGAGGCAGGCAGAGGAGACTGGGAGGATATCCATCTGTCGAGTCGAGACGTCGAGGGTCTCTCCGACTTCAGAATTGCAGCATTTTTTCCTTTTTTGGCACCTTATTCCCTCTCAACTGTACGTAAAAACGCACTCGACAAAAAAAGCCCGTCGGCCTAAGCACACACCCCTGACTCGGCCGACGAACGAGGGGGGGCATGGGACAGTCAGCAATTGAAAGGGTACGTACCGGCCTCGGACACGGAGACATGGACCTCCACTATAAAAAAGCTTGGTGCAGCGACTGTCGAAATAAGCTTGATTTTTTTTCGAGAAGGGAGGGAAGGAACCAAACGATACGGCAGGTGTACGTACCCCCGACCGGCCGACCGTTCCTTCCCTTTCCTTTCAGTCATAACCCTCCCTCAGCACCACCTTACCAACGAGGGAGGTACCCGCCTGCTGGTGCTGGTGCTGGTGCTGGTGCTGGTGCTGGTGCTGGTGCTGCTGCTGCTGGTGCTGCCTGTACCGTACTTTCCACAGGCAGGCACCTACCTACCTTAGGTGCCTTAGGCTGCACCTTCTGGCAATGGCAAGCACCACTGAAATCCTCCACTTGCAGCGCTGCTTAGGTGCCTACAGGCAGGTGCGAGTACATGCTCCTTCTAAGCCAGAAGTTCTTGCCCTGCCCATCCGTAGATATCACCAGTCTATCAATCAAGACGAGGAAGGTGAGACTGTAAAAGTGAGAACGTTCGAGGAAGTCGCAGGTGACATGAATTTGCCGCGCCTTCCACCCAAGCTTCAAGTGAACGGAAGGTAGGTAGGTAGGTAGGTAGGTACCTTCCATCTCGTCCGAATGGCAGCCTATGGCTTCCCCCACCACCTCCAACATCAACACCACCACCTTCGTCTTCGTCAACCTCCCGCAGCCACTCACCACCTCGTCTTCCGTCATCTGCGTCCCATCGTCTCAAGTCCGTCGATTCGTCAGTCCTGCCTGCAGCGTCTGTCTCGGCATCAAGTCAAGCCTTGGCTGCTACTGCTGCTGCTTTCTTACTCGGCATCATCTACACTCTGGCTCTGACACTCTCGGGTCGGACGGTTATTACAGACACCTTATTGCCATCCCATGCTCGCATCGCATCGCATCCCATCCCACACATGCAGCCATAGCCGTTGCCGCACCCGTCGTCGCATTCGTGCTCTCCATCCGCTGCCGCCTCTACAACTACCACCTCGTGGACTTTTGCCATTTCTGCCGACCGACGGAGGGCCTGTTTGTCTGAGCTGAGCTTCTATTAATCACTCACGGCCTCCCCTCCTTCACCTTTATCCTCAGCAATCACCGTCCGCCACTCCCCGGTTTTCTCGCCCTCACCATCGTC